TGCAGGTGTCTTAAACTTAATCTTGTTCCATCAATGCCTAAGGTACCCCTGAGGTAATACTTCCTGCAGTCTGTATTTGTCACTGTCTTCCTGGTTTGTAAGCAGATAACACCACTGTCTTTGCTGCATTTTCAGGTGGACAAGGCTGTAGGATTTCCAAGGTTCTGCTTGAGAGGTCAGCTCTTGGTAGCTGCAAGCCCGAGTAGTGTATTTTAATGTTGTCTGGCTGGTCGTGTTTGTTCATTCTAGGTCATATTTTTCCATTCTTGCTGGTTTTTTTTCCAAACAGTTTTTTTACTAACCCTGTGTTCAAGTGATAATGCAAATACATGCAGCAGAAAATGATATTTAATAAGAGTAGTACAAATATTTTCACATTCTCCTCATAAGGTTTGAATGCAGATAGTGTTACTGTAGCTACATCTTGTGCGTAGGCATTGTAAGACTTTCTCTTTGGGACTAAAGGAAAGCTCTTTGTTTAGAATAATGAAAGTAATTAAAAAAAGAAGAATAAAAATCAGGTTAACTAAAGGATGATGTTATGTATTTTAAAATATTTTGCTATCAGAAGTACAACCTGATATTTTTTTCTTTAGCTCTGTGTTTCCTGTTGTGAGACTAAATCTCACCCAAGAAACTTCCGTACCCACTGTTTCCCAAGGAGTTTAGATTGAGACCTTTTGAGGCTTCTTAAGGTTTTACCAAGAATCTTCATGTATCTACTGTGCCTTACTGTTCATTTTTCCAAAATAAGTAATTTTTGTCTCTGGATTTACCTGTTATGCAGATTTTGATTTTGTATGTCTTCAGAGAAGAATTTTTTTTTTTGGCCCATCACCATTATAATCACCATTATGCATGTCTGGCAATTTTCTCATGTCACAGGTGTGACAAGTGTAAGTGTTTACAGGTAATATAAGATTCTGTTTAAATATTTACAAGTGATATAGTATCTGATATGCTTTTTCTTGTTTCTCTGAACTCTGAATGTTCACTTTTCAGCATGTAGAAAGTGCAGATCCAGCAAGTTGATAATCATGTGAAACTTAACATGGTCAGTATGTCTTACTCTGAGATTCTTGTAATTCTAATGTGTGCTTAAATGTGTGAACATGATCTACAAGAAGAAACATGCAGTATGTGAAATTCTGAAGTAAATCAGAAGGAAATCTGCTGAATTCAGTAGGATATATTAAAAAAAAATGAGCATAAGAGAGATTAGATCCTAGATAACTCTGGGATTTTAAGTATACTTTGTGTGTCAATTAAAACTTAGGCATTAAAAAGGATTATTGACCAACATTTCTGTGCTTGACGAGTTCACTTTGAGTGGTACAAATCTACAATCACTGTAGAAAGTTAATTTAACCAAAAACGTTTGGTTTTAACTTGCTCCTGCCACCTTGCATGGAGTTATGAGAACTGTTCTTAATTTTCATTCATTTGAATCTTGAGCTATGATATAGTAGTGTCTAGATTATGCTGTTTTTGCTGTTGCTGTTGAGCTCATGTTATAGTTCTAAATTCAGATTTAAAGACTTTTTTGGAGATACTCCTACCAAAGTCATTCATGTTTTACCTGTGTAATAAATTTTACCAGGTTTACAGAAACTACCACGTGCACTAGTGCTAAGCTAATATACATAGTGTATTTATATTTCTTAAGGGAGATACAGTCAACTGCAGCAGCAGTTAGCAGTTCACATGTTCTGCATTTAAGTATTTCCATCTGCTGTGGTTGCAGGATACTCTGTACACGTTCTATCAATCTGTTAAAGGTGGTGTCAAATGGCCTTGAGAATTTCTCATGTTCTGATGTCTTTCTAATGCAAAGCACAATTTGCATAGAATCCAAGGTAGTCATTTGTGATTCAGCTATCCACAGACAGATGAAGCGTGCATTGCAGGCACTGTTTTATTTGTCATAGTTGTTAAAATGTTGAATTCCTCTCAGTTTTAACATAGTGAAGTAAAAATTGTGAGAGATGGAAGCTTCTAAGTTAGCATACCATTCCTACAGCAAAGCACCTTCCAATATACCAAGTCCCAGTTGAGCTCTTCTTGGCCTTTCTTTGTTTAGAGACAGGAAGGTTATAATTCCTGATCTACATATTTCTATTTATACTTAAAAATGTAATATTAAATCACTGCAGTATCAGCTACATCCTGTCTCTCTCTGCTCCCTTTCTCATTTGTATTATCAATAAAAGAAAACACATGCAGTACTTTGGCTTTGCTGCCACCATAGTCATGGCCTGGCAGATACTTTTTGAACAGAGGGTGGATTTATAGAACTAGCAGTTGCTGAGTTCTCTGGAGTCAGACTTACATTATCTTCCCAATGACCTCCTGTTTTTTTGACAGTTAGCAGGTTTTTACCTTTGCTTGATGTTTTAAATTTGTCCAACTTTTTTCTAAGCTCGTCATTGATCCCTATTGTCCTTTTGTGGTGGCGTTAACTTTCTTTCAGACTTATTGCTGTAGTTTTTATCTATTTTTTCTTCTGTTCACATTTAGAGCAGTGGTGGTTATGTCAAGCCAACATCATCTTTTCCACGTTACAATTGTTGCCTTCTCCAAGTACTGTGCAGTGGAAATTTATATGAGGGGAGGAAGAGGGAGAGAGAAAAGGAAAAGCACAGAATATTTTGTTTTGAAGAAATCAGTCTCTCAGTATGATGTCCTCTTCTAGACTGACAAAAGTCTTTTTCTCTGCAGAGAAACTTGGGGCCAAGTTTTGCTCTGGACAACACTACTGATTTTACTGAAACAGACACAAATGTGAATGAAGGGCAGCTTAGCTTAGTGGAGAGAGGGGAGAGGGGGCTGGTGTGAATCAGAATTGTCTGCTGAAGTCACTAAGGAATCTAAAATTAGATCAAAGACAGCTTCGGATGTGTTTCATGCACTACATATGTGAATTTGAATAGAAATGCTAAGGGGATGGTTAGCTATATCCATTTTTGCCATGGAGAATAATATAAATAGCCAAACGTAATCTTGGGGAAGATATTGTAGCCCAGCTTTGTGACTTCAGCGTTTCAGAGTTTATGACTCTTTATCCAAAATGGAATCCTGGAGTCCATTTAACTCCGAAATGAATGAGATAATCATAATCAAGTTAGCTCCTCAGATACCTGAAGAACAAGATGATAAAAAGGGAGCAAGTACACCTGGTACAGTTTGCAATAATGAATGTTTTCATAGGTGTTTAAGATGAACACATCATATACTTTGCTTTGCACTTTCTATGGAACAACCTTCACAGAGAACGTCTGTTTTCAAAGAACTTGCAGAAAATGTGGTTTATGTTAACCACAATGCAAAACCAATTAAGGGGCTGTTGCAGAAACCTGCTTTTTATATGGCTTATTCATACATTTCCTTAAAAATTGCAGACCCTGCTCCGTGAAGTCCAGCAAAATTCCATGTGACGTGAAGTTTTTGGTCTAGATGATGTTTTTGTTTTTTGTTTTTTTTTAAGATCAGCTCAGATCTTTTTTTAGGTAATTTGTTATGTTTTACTCTATACTGAGGAATCATGGAAATTACAAAATTAAGATAATGATGAAAAAACACAAAGATAATAAACATTTGTAAGGAGAATCTTGCACAGAAAAGCTGATTAGTGGCTTCCCTTCAGGCCACTTTGATTATATGCAGCTGGGCACTGTGTACTCAGCCTGCATTGGTAGAAAGATTTTTCTTGCATCATACTGAAATGTACTTTATTTATCTCATCCTTTACTCATATCTGGAGTTGAAATGCCTTTCCCTGTCTGTCTGATTTTGGTGAGCTAGAGGATTCCTGCCACTAAAAGCAGAGATATTTCTCTCTATGACACTGCCTTTTCTAGGAAATGTGATGGGAGGGTAGTTCAATTTCTTCACTCTGTAGCTTCAGCACTTCACCTGAGTTGTTCCATTTATCCTTGGATCCCATGTTATTTCCCAAAAGGCCACTAAGATTACTGCCTATTATTTGTTAATTCATGGACTTAGCATTTTTATTGCCTATTGATTTTCAGTCTTTGTTTTCAGTTTAATTTAGTAAAAAGTGTTTACTTTGTTGCCCAAAATACCAATCTTCAGAACTTAAGTAATACAGAATTAGGGACCACAAAAAAAAGGAGGATGAGTGAAATAAATATAATTGATTCAAAATTAAGGTGCCTCTAGAGCATAAAAGTTTTAGTGAGGCAATGTGCAGTGCCATAATACTAACTTCTGCATTTAATTCATTTATTTAAATGTTGGTTTCCCTAAATCTTTTGTAACTTTAGTGGAATAAAGGAAGAATTACACCTTATATTAAAGTTTCTATATTAAGGAAGAATTTCGAAGAAGAAAATCTTTATATAAGTGGTTTTCCATACATATCTCTCTCTATTTGATGTCAGTGAGCTTGCAACTTTTATAACATCGTATGTTACAGTAGCTGCTAACCAATAGTTCTAATAAAAATACAGATGGCTTGGTTGCCATCTGCACTTCTTTTGAGATTCTGCAAGGAATATCTGATTAACCTTCTGTCACCACATTTCAAAATAAGTTGGTTTTTTTTTTTTCTCTACCATAAGCTTTCCTTGTACCTCCACTTCCCCCTCTCACCTCTTCCCCTGCTTGGAAAAATGCTAACCTGAGGTTTTCATAGACATCTGACTTGTCTTTCCGCTTTAAGCTTTTGTGGAGGATAAAGAAACATTGGAATTTTATGTTTCTGTACCTTTCACATTACGAAAAACAGACTTCCAAAATGGCTGGGTTTGAAAGACCAGAACAGATAATTAATTCATAAGTGGGTGTTGAAGTGGAAACTGTCAGGCCACAGCTTTCCCAGCTTTCACTTAATCATTTGAAAGTCGTTTTCTGTTGTTTTCACTGACTGTAATCCCTTAGAGAGAATATAAAACTTGCACCATCCAGCATGGAATTCCACTCCTCTAATGACTTGGGCTCTGTGTTGACTCACTTTCACTCGCTGTTGTCATTTCATACAGGAAAAGCCGTACCAATGTTCAGAGTGTAACAAGGCTTTCAGTCAAAAGCGAGGCCTAGATGAGCACATGAGAACCCACACCGGAGAGAAGCCGTTTCAGTGTGATGTGAGTTGATCTATCCCTTTGTCTTCTTGACTTTGGTGCAGCAGCAGGACTCAATTGCAGTGACACTATGGCCTTGCACCTATTGCTGTGGCTTAAAGTTCCACTTCATATGGTCTTTGATTACTTAACTAATGAAAGGCCATTCAGGGAATTTTATGTACCCTCTTCAGTTGCCAAGAACGTTGCACACCCTTTTATTTTATGGTTTTGGATCCCTTAAGAAGTATTTTCACCATTATTTATGTAATTTGGATGCTGCAAGTTAACAAATTCATGCTGGTTTGATTCCTGTATAAATCGTATGACAGGTTAATTGTTGGAGATTAGCTTATACAGGAAAAGGTGTTTAATTCATTACATGGCATCTGAATGCTTCTGATGTTATTGAATGACACAAATACAATTTTTTTTATTTCTGTTTGGTGAAATCTGGTCTGATATTTTCAACATCTGCTTATAGATTGGGTTTGCTCTTTTTTTTTTCCTTTTTTTTTTTAATTGTTCAGTGAGAAATCACGGATGCTGTGTATGCTTGCAGTGCTGAAATGCAGCATATCATATTGCAGTTCATAGATCACTGTCAAGTACTTTTCATTCAGCATACCCCATCCTGTATATAGTGCATCTCCTGGCTTTTGGAAGGTAGGTGGGGAGGCTAAACGTGCAGAAACTGTTGGAAAAGAATGTCTTTCAGAATTATCGACTGCCAGAATTTAAGTTGTTGCTTGAGGATTTAGAGAAGGGCATCAGAATAGGTTATAGAATTAATATAGGTGCTTTGTTTTCTGATATTGGCTCTTAACGAAGTGGTCACAATAGAACCACCAGCTTTTGATTATATCCTGGGTGGCTCTGAAGAGTTGTAAATTTGTTCACAGATTTCTAAAATTAGATGCAAAATTATAATAAACACTTGGCATGAAAGTTGCAAGGGTCTGTTAGTTGATCTGGCTTTTAATAAATAATCTGGTGACATTTCATGGAAAGTAAAATGCATTAATTTAATAAAAAATTTCGTCTACAATATTTTGCTGATGTCTACAAGTGAGATTTACTGTATTCTTTTGGGATAATCTTAGCATGGCTCTAGAATAATACCTTGAGGATTTCTCTAATTCCAAATCATTGTCAATAACTTTTTCAGCTTTCAGATTGCTATATTGTTTATCAGCAGTTGGCTAGCTTACCGTGTAAATGCAGTTTTTCCCACACTGTGGATCCAAGATTCACTGGTCTTGGATTCACAGTGTACTTTTTCAGATCAGTTTGGGTTGCTGGTTATATTTTATTCCTTTTTCTCTCTTTAATTGAAAATAGGAGCTGTAAAAAAACACACTTTCAACTTTTGTTCCGTTTTTCTCATTAATTAAATAGAACTGTATTTTCCCTAAACATAGTATTTCTAGAAACAGCTGTAATCTGTATCTAGTCATAGTCCTTCTCTGAGAATTTTTATGTGCCTTCATTTACTGGAGATTTTTTTTATGCTTTGAATAACTGCCATGTTTCACTAAATTTATTCTTCAATACTAGTCTTTTGCTAGCCACACATTGCGGAGATTGCTGAGTTTTTGGGGTTTGGACATAAACAGCAGTTGTCTCTGCTGTTCATTCACACACTCTTCAGTTGCCCAGGTGCCTACTGTGGTCTGCTGCTTAATGCACACTTGGAGAGTATTGACAGTTTTGTTTTCAATAGTTACTCCTTCCTTCATGTGGACTCCACTTCTGCAGATGCTGGGGACATAGTAAATGTCACCCAGAGCAGCCCGTTCCTCCAGAGCTGTCTTGCACATTGCATATTACCAGATGTTTCAACAGAAGTTACAGGAAAACCAGTAGTGGACAGTTAAAGGAAAATGTACCCATGGGAGACACTTATTGTTGACTCCCCAGTACTAAAGATTGCTTTTTACACTTAAATATTCTCACATAAAATTTTTTTATCCTTCTAAAGATAGCTGTAGATGTTCTCATTATTTTTCTTATAATGACTTGAGTGGTAATTTATGTCAGTAACTTCCCCAATTTCTTAACTGTGGAAAGAGATTGTGGGGAGGGGAGAGTGTCAGGTTACTGCAATGGAATTTCAATAAATGTCTTTTAGTTCTTCATTAACAGAAAGGATTAATAGCCATTCCATTCATTGCTTTTTGTCCATGTGCTGTGTTCCTTCTTAGCTTCTCTGAAGTTATTTCTCTTTTCAACGTTTTGCATGATGACTTCCCAGGTTCATAATAATCTTTGTTACTATTTTCTGGATTTTTTTTTTCCCCCATTTCCATTGCATGTTTTAAAGGATTAAAGTAATAAAAGTCCATCAGTCCAATGCCCAGACCTACTAAGAATCCTTTGAAGGTGGAAAACAGGCTATGTTTTCAATGATTAACACATTCATAAATGTAATCATAGATGAAGCCATGCTGAAAGACAAACGTCTTCAGACGATGGAGCGGTTTGGTCTCGTTTCCTACCTGGCACAAGAAGCAGTCATAGAAGCTGTTTGGCTCTTTCTTCTAAATAACATTAACATTTTCTGTCAGAATTTTCTTTGTTTACTAGTGCTATTAGCATTTACAAACAGGAGTTGCCTTCAGTGCAAAAGATCTGAAGAAAGAAAACTTTTGGCTCTTGAAAAAAACCCCGTGTATTTTATGGGTTCAAAAACAGGCTTCACTTGACAGTGCACTTCTCCTCACCCAATATAAACTATTACCATTTTTTAGACCTCATTTTTGCTTCAAATAGAATTTTCTTCTAGAATCAGAAATAAAAGCTATGTCTTCCTCTCTCTCTCTCTCTCCTATTTCTCAGGTATATGGAACAGAAAGTACAAGCTTGTGCTGCATGTGAAAGTAATCCTTGTACCCTGTTTGAAGGTGCTGCAGTTTATGTGGCTATTTCTGTGTCTTATCAGTTAACAAAACCATTTTCATAACTCACAGTTAATGACTCAAAGCTTTCACATGCCACTGATAGTAGTAGAAATTGAATATTCCCATTTTAAGATGAAAATTCTAATACATACCTTATAGCAAAGTGAAAAAAACCTGAAATATGGAAATATAAAAATGTGTATTTTCCTGCTATGTTAGATTTCTGTTCTCTGAAGACCAGCCTGTTTTTACTGGAAGACCAGTTGAACTTCAGTTGCCTCAGAGAGCAGATTATTCTTTGAGGGCAGAAAGGTCAGGCACTGCGTGTCCTGGTTTTTTTCCAGTACAGTATTTCCCTTCACTCTGCCTTTAGTTGACCCTACACTTACTTTCAAATGTCAGTCTTTTCCAGCCTCCCTACTCAATCAAAACTTTGATCATTTTGAAGAGATTGATTGAGTTCAAGTGCACATTAGCTCTAGCATGGTTGTAAATCTATAAAATGTCCGTCTTGCTTATAAAATTGAAATATGAAGCAAACACGTAAAAAAAACCAAACTAAAACCTTTTATACATAAGTTCAGCACAAGATGTATCTTATCTTTAATGATCCTGTACATTTCGTGTTCTTTTTGAAGAAGTTAGATAGTAAAACATGGTAGAGCCTTGAAGGAACAGCAGGACATGTTATACCAGTTACATGAGTATTAGAAATAAAAAATGTACTTTAAGACTGTGTTATAAGATGTTTACTTTACAAATTAAGAGGTGTGTGTAAGATACACAAAACACATGTATGTATGTGTATCCTTGACAGGCTTCCTGGCTTCCAAGAAATATGTTGTGTTTAGAAGTATATGTGATACTTTTGACATGTTGAGACTTGTGAGCAAGCATGATGGTTATGATTAGATAAATGTTATGAGTTGACTTTGTGTGTTCTGTGGAAGAGGAATAGCAAATGGTATTTGGCAAAATCAGTATTAAGACCTGACTGTTCTGTGAGTGATGTTCACTGTTGCATAACAAAAGGGTGACTGTTGCTTGGGTCTGAAAGAGGTAATTATACATTGAGGGGAAAAAAGCTGGAGAGTTAACAGTTACTGTGCAGAAGTCCTTGTATTACATCATGTCATAAATTCAAAATGTTATGTTGTAACAGCACGTACAGTGTTCTTGTCTGGGGAAAAATTATTTTGGGTGCAAAACTTGCTTCTGGCAATTGCCCTTTTTATGGTCGTTGTATGGTTTTGCCTTAATTGGCATAAAATATATATGCTGCAGGTCAAGATTATCTACTTGGATAGTCAGCTCTATTTGCCTGTCTTGGTTTCAAAAGGAACCAGTAATCATTCAGCATTTTCATTATTAGTTTGCTACCAGTATGAATTTAAAACTAGATTTCCTAAGGAGGGATTGTGCTGGGTTCCGTGAGTTTCCTCTGCGTGGAAGACTTTTTTTGTCTGGAATAAACGTGGAATTCTAAGATTTCAAGTTTATGGATGTTCTTTATTTAATTACATGACTCTTGCCTATTTCATTTGTCAGATCAGGAATACACTTTCTATATTTTTTTTTTCTAGTAAATTCATGCATTCATTATGTACCAGGATGGAAGGTGAATATGACAATGTAACTGCACAATTTCAACTGACTTGATGTCTTGCCTGCAGGTTCTTAACTTTTCATTCTAACTCCTCTTGGCTGTGCTTGTTCTTAACCTTTCAGTTTGACTTGAGTACAGGAATTTTTATAAGAAATAATGGTTTTAGCGTTGGCAGAGTCCCTCTACCTGTTTATTCAAATGGTAGAATGAACTGGAGTGCTTGGAGTACAGTAGAGGAAGGGAAGCTGCACACCAGGTAATACAGCAAAGGAACTGCACTTTCATTTGCCAGATGTCTTCTGTTTTCTTGACAAGGCAGAGGAAGACTGGAACAATGAGAGTTCCTCTATAATAATTATTAACCTTTCTTGCAATCTTCAGAGCCTCTTTTTTCTCACTCCTCCCTCCTTGTAACTGAACTGATTTTTTAGGAACCCGCAGATATAATTCTGGAGGTCAGGAAGGAAATATTTCATTTGAGGTCAAATTGACAGAGGCTTGTGATGTTTTGTCAGAATTTTTGCAGCATCCCAGATAGACTAGTAGGTTTAAAACAAAACAAAAAAGCCCACGACAAACAACCAAACCACAATGTAACTGAGACACATCAGTGTGTTGATATTTTGAAGATTCAATCTTTTTCACCTTCTGCTCCCCGCTCCCGCCCCCCTTTCTTCCCATGCCTGTGGTACCACTATTAATGTATGATGTTGAAAGATACCAGACAGAGTAATGATCTTTAAGGTGCGTTCTGAAGAAGTTATTCTTCCAAAGACTAGCTCATTTATTAAGCATTCCAGGTATATGTGGCTGTGGCCTCAGTGGTGTAACACAAGGAGCATTACACATACCTGAAGTTTTAAGGCTTCTTTTGTCTTTGTCGTGTCTCCACTGCCTTAGGTTTGTGATCTGTCCTTCAGCCTGAAGAAAATGCTGATCCGACACAAGCTGACTCACAACCCAAATCGACCAATGGCAGAATGCCAGCTTTGCCACAAGAAGTTTACAAGAAATGACTACCTCAAAGTGCACATGGAAAATGTCCATGGTGAAACTGACAGCTAACTACAAAGTGTGTGAGAAGAATGGATCTCACGTTCCAAAGTGCTCCATTTGTACATGTACAAACTCCAGACTTCTCACCTGACTAGTAAGCATAGTCAGGAGAAACAATTGTCTTGTGTTCACGTGTTATTTTTCTCACTTTTAAAAAAATATACTAGTAGGATAAAAACCAAAGAAAGTAAAACATGGCTTGAAAATAAATATTGAAGATAAAAGAACTTTGGGAAAATTTTATCCTCATTTAAAAAAAATAAATAAAAAGTAAAAAAACCCAACCAAAAAAAAACTTGAAGCAAACTTAACCTTCTTAATTACAGCGTTAGAAACTTAGATATTGGTAGCATTACCGCGAGATCCTGGACATTTGGAACTGAACCCTTGGCTGTCTGCAACTGTATTTCTGTATCTAAGCTTCAAGACTCCATTAAAATTCTTTAATTTGGAACCATACAGAATTTGTCATTCTAATTGACTGCTGATTGCACCCAGTCATATTTTATTCAGATCTTGGTTCTGCATTCTGTTGTAACATGATTTTGTCTCATTTTATTTGCAGCTTTCTCGTTACTAGATGAAACTCATTAACTTCAATTGGTTCTTGAGATGCCAAAATGTATGAGTACAGAAACTGTGGAAATCGGTCACGTTAAGTATTCCTGTATGAGCATTGAGGAGGATGTGTTTCTTCTGGTTACATGAAACAAGGCTGAAGTGAAAATTTTGAGCAATTTAGTTTAAGTACTATATTCATACTCATCATTGTGACTGGCAAGGCAAGTGCAAAGACATCTTAACAGAGTAGCTTGAGCAGCTACAATTACCTGGTTAACAGGTATTTGATTTCTTGGTTCCCAGTGTGTTTCTTCCTGAATCAGATGCCCTGGATTTCTTCATCCCACTTAAATACCTTTGTTTTCTTAAGTCTGTTAATGAGCACTGTGAAAAATACTGTTTTACAGCTAAGTAACAATCAAATTCTTCATGTTAGCAGATTGTTTAATGTAATAAAACTCTTGAAGAGTTCCCACAGGCCCTCTTGTAACACAGCTAACCAAGAAATTTTTATCTACAAGGACAGTAAAACTGTAACTTCAGAGGGTGATTGTATGTGAAATTCCTGGGTTATCAGCAGTTAATATTAAGGCTCTGTCATGAGTAAACTGTTCATATTCATTTTGGACCTGTCAATATTTTGTAAAATGAACTTGCATTGGGACATTGTGCTTCTGGTTTTCATGCAGAAAAAAAAATCAGCTTTCTGAACAGCAGTGGGGACAATTATGCTGAAATGAACAGCATAATTCTTCACCTCACAGTAGACTCTCTACTCAAATCTGTTTATCACATGGTAGATTTTTCTACTCAGAGCAAAAATAAATAGCAATAGTAGTATTCCTGGCAATGGAAATAGCTGGCAATAGATCTTGTTATATTTATTGGTTAACCCTTCCTTCCTTCCTTCTCTACTAATAGTTCGGATCCCATTCTTCTGCATGGACATCTTTGCATAACATGTTCAATTTTGAGACCCAGCACTGGATCCCAGTAGTAATTTTTGCTAAAGCCTTTACTTTTCTAAGCAAATAAGCAGAAGACACTTTGTGTTTTTCTCAGGAGCTGAAGAAGGTATGGCGCTAATAGGGGTAATTATAGTTAGAGGATTGGTATCAGAAGGTCTCAGTTTTTCCTAGGAAGCTTCCTGTTTTGTTATGAGACTGTTTGTCTTCAACCTTCTTTCTTTTCTTTTGGAAGCCTATAATGCTCCATGACAACAAACTAACAAGTTTACATTTACAAGGAAGTTGCGCACTGAAGTTTACAGGTTCCCTTTCTTGATGAAACCAGGTCACTCTAACAAAGTTTATCAAGGACAGGCAGGAACTGTCACTGTTTTCAGCATTATAGAAAACTCTGAAGTGATGTCTTCCCATTCATTTCAAAGGTCCTTGGCTCAAGTTACATGTGACTAGTTAGGCTTGAATGAACCACCTGCAAGGTTTCTGCAGGCAAAGGGGTAACCTTCAGCTGTATTTGCAGATTTGACATTGGAATCCAGCATCCTCTAGGATGATCTGGATTGAAAAAAGAATAAAGCATAGCAAAGCAACAGACATATGGTCTGGACTGTCATGTAATTGTTTAAAATAGGCCACAGCAGTTTATACTGATATAAATTCATATGAAGAAGATGCTGGAGAAGACCTGCATATTGAGAACCCAATTTCATATAATGTTGTTTGGTAACATATTGGTTCAGTGTGGAATAAGTGACTTCGGTCTTATACTGATGTGTGACAAAAAGTGGATCACTACATGTATGCATTATGGATTTTTGTGTTATGTAATAACCTCTATGGTGTTATGTTATAACCTCTAGGCTCTTTTTAATTTTAATTAAATATAGAACTTATTTTCCTATATTTTTAGTAGTTTTTCACAGTATTTGTTTTGAAGGCACATTGCATGGTTGATGTTTCATGAATTTTAATTATTCAGTGACACTTGACTATTTTATTGCATTCAGTTTGCCTGTTGGAATGCATATACTTAATTATTTCTAAATTGTTTAGGGTTCCTGCAGATTTTGAAGGAGAAGTGTAATTATGAATATTTCACTTTTTTGTGACAATCACCTAAATGTAAAAGTATATTAAGTCGTCTTCATACCCTTTTTGCTTCCTGAGAGGTATGTGAAACTTGGAGTCTTTTCCAGTTCCATACAAATAATTTGTTCATATAAATCAAATATATTGTATGTAAGACACATATAGTAGAAATAGGCATTATAAAGTTGAATAAAGAATACTTCCTCTCTTTATTTGGAGAGCTTTTGTTTAAGAGTTTGTCAGACTAGTATATTTCTAGGTGTAGAGAACTTTAACTTATTGCTACAGTTATAATAAAATTTAATATAATTTAAGTATTCAGGTAACAAAATCAATCCGTGTCATATACTGAGATATCCGATGGTGTTTTAACTATATAATCTTAATTATCTGCAAGGAGAATTAAGTTGGTGACTTTTTTGACATGTCTGGGGTGGGACAATGTTGCAAAGATTTTTGTTTGTTTGCCTTTTTGACCAACAAAAATAAAGAATTTAGTCATGGAAAAATTGAGATTTCCATTTTAAATTTTTTTTCTTCCTTTATGTTTTTCCTTCTTTCATTTGGTCAGTGTGAACTAAGGCACAGAAAACAGCAGAAGAAAAAAACAACCCAACAAGAAAAGAAAAAAGTTCAAAAGTAAAGATTTTCTGGGCAGTTTTTGAGGGGAAATGCTATTGCAAAAGAAGATGATTCTTTTGGAGGAAAAAAAAATACAATTTCATATATTTTCATATTTTGCATAGGATTTTTGCCAGAGATCTTTGTTGCAAAGTTGTGTTACATATTTAGGATTAATAACTGTATTTGAGAAAAACAGCTAGTTGCAGAAAGTCAGTACATGGAGAGGAGAATGCACTTTTTATGTTTTTAATTATTGCTGGATAAATGACAATATACATAACTAAGATTGATCATGCTGTATGTAATCAGTAGCAGCAGCTAACTAACTGAAGCTTTGATCTCGTTAATGGCTTCAATAGAACAAGGGATAGACAGGATCAACGTGCGAGTGAAAGAACCTCAGGAGAGACACAAGAAGTAGGTGCAGGAGGTCGAAGCCCAGCTCCAGGTGATGACTCTTCGCTCGTGTCCTTCAGGAACTTTCCTTGTGGGGCTAAAGTGGCTGCAGATCTGCCCGAGGTCCTACAGACGTGGCACCTGGCTTAGCAGCTGCAGATGTTTCCATGGCAAGAAGTGCCCTGTTCTTTCCATGAGGTGCTTGAATTTTTTGCAGTTGGAGGAAATATGATTCAGATTACTGAATTCATGGTGGTGAACTGTATAATTGAGTTTATATGCAATGTAGACTTACTGTTATGCAATATATTTCTGGTTGGTCATAGCCTGGGGAGGGGGAGGGTGGGGAACAAACCCCACCAAACACAAACTAAAAAAAAAAACAACAACAAAAAAATGCCCAAAACAAACCAAATACAAAAACAAAGAAAAAACTTAAATCAACAAAACCTTCTCCTTTGAGTAAAAATTTCCATTGACAGTCTCCCAGTTGGTATTGCCTTTGGAAAAGAGAGAACATTCCTTTCAACTGATTTTAAGAAATGCAAAATTGAAACCTCTTGGTTTAAAGGTAATTGTTAATTTGTGTGTGTGTGTTTGTTTTGCTTTACTGTCTTACTATGACAAACTGACAAAATTCATAGTTAAAATTCTGACTTTTCCATGGTAATTTGTACCATGCCAAATAACAGGAAAAGCTAGAGATATTCCTGAAATAACATGTAGTAACTGAAATTCTAGAAGGCTGTGATTTCCCCCCCACCCTCCTACATTGTATAATTTTCTGCAGATCATGACATTCAATTTGTTCTCTTTATTTTTGCATTACAGTTAACCCCTCTTAGAGTGATCCCCATCTCTGATGTTAGGAACCGCAGCAAACTCACTTGTTCCTTTTACTTTCCATTCTGATCAGATGTATGGCCCAAAGCTGATCCAAATCTTTAAGATGGTAACATTAGCAAGTGCAAAGGATATTTATAATTCTTTTGTTTGATATGATTGTGAAGGATTTGATGCATCATATAGTTTACACTGGCAAGTTCTAATTAGAAATCAGTCAAAGGAGAAAATAGTGTAAGTTGCTGTGTGTACTGGGCATTTTATGTCATTATATTTAAGTGTACAGATACAGTGTAGTCAAAGCAATTTGTATGCCCTGTGAGTTAATTTGTGATGTTGTTATAGGAATATGTTTCTGGTCTGTGTTTTAAATTGCAACTTGTAATACTCTGTATTTGTGTCAATATATACCAGTACCATTATTCTTCAGAGATCTCTGACTAGATTTTAATTTTTTCAGTTTATTTTAATTTTTCAGTTTAAAAGACATAGCATAATACTCCCTCTAAAGCATCACTTTCAGAGGTGGAGGAGCTCTGTGTGCTGTTAGTGTATGATCAGATTATAATGAACTAGTTTAAGTTCAGTTACATAAATACTCATTGCACAGAAGTATAGGGATTCCCTTTGCAGTGAGATTTGAAATCTGCCTATTTGGTTTTTTTTTATGCTAGTGCTGGCTCAGAATATGATAGCAGTTATAGCTG